ACTCATTAAATTTGAACGCGGGCGCTGCCTTTAAGCGTCCTACTTGCACAAGTAGTCTGCTCTTGGATTGTTCCTCTTTCTCGGCCTCAGACTGAGCAAAAGGCGCCGGGGCCCTCATAAGTAGAAGTTCTGACACCCACCTAGTTGTCCCGCCCACCGAAGCCAAAAGTAAATTTTTGTCACAAGTTCACTTTTTACAAGGCGTTTTTCGTTTTTTCCTCTGTTAGACGGTACTGGCACTGAATGACGCAAAGAGACCAGTAATGCGCCAGAGGCATAGCGCGGATACCCATTGCCAGTATAAAACAAGGAGATCCGTAGAACTCGTGCCAGATCCTTAATTAGGGTGTTCTTCACGAATTTTTTTTGCTTTTCTCTCCTGGGAACCCATTTAGCGACTATAGGTTCGTAATTGAAGGCCGGTATCCACAATGCACAATCGCGGGATTTGTCTCTAAGTTATTTCAGGTGAATGGATTTTCGTCAAGTTGCCCGCATTCAAATGGCTCACTCGTAGTGTTCCGTCCATTATGATAAGAATGATTTTGGCTCCGTTTATGGCGCTATTTATGTCCGCATATGGACTAGAGTGCTACTATTACCGAATACGAGCCGACGATACACTCACAAGCGACAACGTGGTGGTAAGTGGTTGAGAATAGCTATCTGGGAATTTAATGAAGTTTTCATTAACACTTCAGAATCGGAATTGCTCGACGTTGGTCTCTTCGTGTGTGAAGATCATCTCCAGGAATGAGCTTCCTCAGCAGGAGCAGTCCGAGACCCTATCAACGATTGAGGGACGTTGTGCATTCACGCCTTACGAATGTGCAGGTCGGGAGAGGCAGGTGAGCAGTACTTTTGATACTGTTAGTGAGCACAGCTTCACCATCAACAAGCCTTTAGCTTTGGTGAGGTTCAGTCATGATGAAGCAATAGAGGCAATAGAGTGTAGCCCTCTTCAGACCCTTTCTTTGAAACCTCCCCTAAACAATTTTTGTGATTTCAGTGCTTACCAGAACCACCAGTTACACGCAATTTTATAACCATTCATGACTACAAGTGCTGCTCCAGCGAAGATCTGTCCAATGGAGGACCAGCCAGCAGTTTAAGCACAATTCTACTCATGTGTATCATGTTGCTCACCAAATTAGGCAGCATTCAGACTTCGCGTTGACGCGCGTCGACACGCTCTAACGGCGTCGATGTTTTACCAAAGCAAGTGCGTCTCAATGCTATAGGCGCTAAAGCAGCCGCAGAATTGATTGACTGGAATTGATTGGCTCTGGCCATTTGCGTTTTGGTAGGATATAGGACAATAGGATAGCAAGCGCAAGGTCCGTACAATCTAGTACCCTCCGGTTCCGCCGCACTGTGTCAAAGCAAAAGCGACCAGTACCGATCGATACCATACTGCTTGACTAGGGAACGCCTACAGCCCCTTTCCCCGTACTCTCTCACAAAACGAGTGGCTAGTGCCAATTGATTTCCGTCTGCTGCGTCTACAGCATTGAAGCTATATTGCAACTGCAGCACGTCGACGCGTGCTACAGTGCGTTCTCGCGCGTTAAAGCATCCCAACGCGCGTCATCGCAAAGTCTGAAAGCTGCACACTATCTCAATGATTATTACAACAGATTTTTCGTCAGAATTGCTCTTGCTGTATTATAAAGAGAATGCACTGCATTTTCTGAATAGTGCTAAAGCTTCTCATTTGTCACTGCTGCAGCGGATAATTTTGCAAGTACTGCACCCACGCACCGCACTGCAATAGTACTGTACGCGCAAA